TACACATATATATGAATTTAATATTTTAATGTTAGAATAAAAAATTAATTTTAATTTTTTTTAATACGTTTAAAATATATTAAAAGTTACTTTTTAAAATTTTAAATCTTTATAACAAAAAATATTTTTTCTTTGAACATTTTTTTGTTTATTTTCTTATCCTATTCTATCTAATATATTAAACATAATAAACAGAATATGAATTTTTATTCTATCAGTATGTACTATATATACTTATAAAAATCTTGATTTTATTCAATTTCATTCACGTTTCCATTCTCACTTCTATTTCTTAAAATTCATTTCACTGTATTATACGACACCTAATTCTTTCAAAACCGGACGTGAATGGTAGAACGCGAATGGTATAACCTTCCCCAGAAGGTCGAGGAATCAAAATTATTGTCCGACTTAAGATAATGAATCCTACCACCCACACATACTTGTTGATAATCTACTTATTCCATTTTGTCTTAGTGCTTGCAAGGTTTGGGAAAAATAGAAAAAAAAAAGTAAAATAAATATGATTAAATTCGGGAAAGAAAAAAAAAATGAGGGCAATATTTCATTACGAGTTCTCTGCAAGTAGTGGAGTGTCCTAGACCGTCAATAACGGCGGGCAGTGCAAAAACTCAAAATAAATTTAAAAAAATAAAACAAAATAGTTTAAAACATGATAATTAAAATATTAATTAATTAAAATTGAGTCAAATTATAATAAATTTAGGTCTGAATCCAAATTGAATTATGATAGATATGAATTTAAATCTAACATTAATGTAATTTATCTAAATTTGATTCGAAATCTTATAAAATATATTTCTAGTACTATCATATTTAAATCTAGTCAAAAATTGATATTTGACATAAAGATTCTGAATATGAATTATTAATTATTATTTATTTATTATTTTATATTTTTAAAAAAGTCAAATAAAAGTAAAAATTTTTAAAAATAATTAATAAATAATTTTAAATTTAAAAATATAATATAATTATATTTGACTTACGGCAAATATTATATTTAAGACTAACTTATTGGTAATAAATAATAATTATAATTAATTTATTAACGTGCATATTTTTTATTTTTTAAAATAAAAATATATTTTTAATTTTAATTTTAAGAAAAATAATTTTTAATTCAAATATGATAAATTAAATTTATATTATAATACATTTAATATATATTTTAAATTTAAATTTTTAAAAAATCAAATCAGTAATATTTATATTCATTTTAAATTATAAGTTTTTAAATTATATTATATTTATTAAATTTTTATCGAATAATAATTTTAAATAATTAAATTTAATTTAAATTAGGGTAAGATTGAAATTCACTTGATCCGCGGCGGTAGCATTGCGAGCCTCCTAAACGGTCCTGTTCATGACATGACTACCCTCGTGTCATTTCCGTAATTTTTCCCAACAATCATGCCCGATCTCTTATGCACCAGGTGCGGTAATTTCCATACCAAAAAAAATGTAAAATGAATTGAAATTGTGAAATGAAAACACTAAAAATCATTTCATTTCCACCGCATTTCTACAGAAAACCTCAACGCTTTGGCTTTATGTCTGCAACTTGAAAACTAAACTGCTGTCGGTTATTCGTAAGACGCGCATCAGCAAAAGCGTGAGTATTCAGAGATTTGAGAGCTTCGAGGCAAGTCGGCGAATCTCGAGCAAGCCAGCGAAGGAATGAACTAATCGACCGTGATGAGCAGCTGATTGTTCCATTTTTTGGGTCATGATCTGTCTGTGGTAAGAATGATTGCTGTATTTACTGTATTTTCTCGATTTGAACGACACAGCTGGAAGTGCGCAGAGCCTAACAGAGACGGAGTTAGAGGGGTTCTTAGGGTTTCTCTGTCTGTTTCTGCATTCAGAGAGAGCAGAGGCAGTAGTAGAGAAGAGAAATCAGGATTTGGAAGATGGCGGAGGTGATCCTCCATATATACGACGTCACGAACAGTGGTTCAGAAAGACGAACAACACTATTGTTCAGATCAACAAGATCTTTAAGGACGGTATTGGTCTAGGCGGCATCTTCCACAGCGCCGTTCAGGTTTCTTACTCTCTTCTGTGTATAAATATGTGGAATGATGGAATGCTTCAGCATGAGATCTAGGGTTTTAGGTTTTCGTTCCAGTAATTGGTGCTGAGAAATTGACTTATACGGAAGTTATTTTGTCTTGTACTCTATCTGTACCGAGCGATGTTCTTTCATAAATGACTACTTAGACGTTATTGTACATCTTGGTCTTATTCGGAAGCAATGGAACTGCTTGGATTTAATTTGTGCATGTTTAATTTACACGCAGTTGAGAATATTGGTGACTTTTAAGGATGAATAGTTTTGGCTCGCTCCTTAGTGTTTTCACTTGTTCGTAACTTTTGATTTACGATGTGTGGGGTGAACTGTGGAATCTTCTAGCAATCCAGCTCTAAATTTATTGAGTTGTGGGCCAAAAAAAAAAGGGCAATTTGGTCTAGCGTCTATCTGAACTTTATTGTCATTCAACTGTTGGGTTGATGGGGAGATCATTTCATTCAACATCAAGTTATTATTTGAACTAATTGTTAGGTTTTAACTTTGAGAGAGAAGTGAATTCTACCACATTGTTTTGAACTTGGGAGAGAGAAGTGCGTTCTACAACATGGAGTCACCTTGATTATTGAACTATCATCACTAAGTTGGGGACATACTCTTGGATAAATAGAATTATTTTAATTGTATGTTATACTGCTGTTCTGGGATGGTCTAGTGCACTTATGGCTTATGTCTCCCTCTTAAGGTAGCTTGAATATATAGGAGAGAAAAAGTAGAGTTGTTATAGGGAAGGGGGAATAAAAATTGAGTTCTTGAAGTAATTTTTTACAACTTTCCTTGCATTCTTCTAATCTATTTAAAGTGTTGACTTTAAGGGCCTTTATGCAAAAGTTTAGAGTACAAGCTGCCTTGTATGAGACTGACTAATGGAGATTATGATGCATGCAATGCAACAACTAGAATTTTATTCCACTTAGAAATTGGAATTTAATTAGAATTTTCTTTTACGTTGTCCCATTTGAGCATATTAATTCTTAAGTGTATTTTATTTAGTTGTGTTTTGGGCCTAGTATTGAGAAAATGCTCCTTATTTCGTTCCTCTCTCTTCAGCAGTTTATCCAAATATATCTCTTTACCCATTCCTTCTCTCTTTTTTTTTTTTAAATGATTTTCTACTGGATCTTATAATTACATGAATTTTAGTATTCCATCAAAGACATGAGATAAGATTTGGTAGTGTAATAACTTCTTGATGTTAAAAGGAAAATCAAGGTTTGATTTCTCTAACAACAGATCTGATAAAGGGTACAATGCTGTGCATGATATGGGATCCTGGCAAAAATTAAGGATTTAATGCATATCAAGACCTTCTTAAATGATATATTGCATTCTTAATTCATTGCCGGTTCTAGGGATGTCAAAAAGATTAAGTTTTAACTCTTATTATGGCATGTTTGGTTTCTAGGTTTGGATTGAATTGAATTAATAGTGAGGATATATTTGTGGCTAAGAGATTGGAGAGGAAAAAGGTGCAATCTGAAAATTTAAGCTCTAGGATAAATGTTTGGACGTTTGTGGACTTCCTTAGTCCTGATTATTTAAGTCCTGCCAAAGTTCAATATAAAAGTGGAGCTGATTAGTTTCTCGATTGGGAAATCATTGCAATTAATAGTTGGCCTAAAATAAGTATGGACAAACTATTATTTAAAGCACATGGTGGACACCCAAATTGTAGTCTAACTAAACTACTATTCGGTCATGGATTAGTATTTGTTTATCTAACTAGGCCTCAGAACAAGCATGGTGGATTACATAATTCCATGATTATGTGGTTTTCAGAAATATGCATACAGGCTTTTTTCTGCTGAAACAGCTGTACCTCACAAATACTCTCTCTCTCTCTCTCTCTGTGTAATATATTCCATTTTCCTCAAATATTAAAATATATTTTTTGCCTCATGTCAATTAATCTTAACTTACGATGTTTCTTTGCCATCTCTCTAATATATTTTTCTCTAATTCTTATCTAATCTTTGCTCTCTCTCTCTCTCTCTCTCTCTCTCACGTGCGCGCGCGTGGACACTGGTGTTCCCCCATAATTCTTCTTATATCTTTTATCTTTCTCAGACAGACATTCTTATCTTGCAGCTATTCATTCTATCACTTCTCAATAAGCACATTTATACTACATTATTTTTCCCTTTCCCTATGCAATTCTTATCAAACTTGAATTCTGTTTGAGTTGCATTGAGTCAAATCTGGTCTGTAAAAGTGAATGTATATATTTATTTCCTTACTTAAAGTAACTAAGATTGATTCTACTTATATTGGGGTTTGAACAATTGTCCATTTCAAAACTCTGTAGAACTGATATGTCATTTACAATTTTTCCATTTATAGGATGTGAAATTTGATTACTTCATTCAATTGAATGAAGCCCTATAAGGCCATATTTAATGGACATACTATATGAACGAATCAATAGAGCAAATATGGATTGCTTGTCCTCCTTTCGTAGCAGGTCTACAGGATAAGCAATTCAGCCATTTGGCATGTCCTTTTTCTTTATTTTATTTTATTTGGGGTGAAGGGAGGGGAGGAAGAAGGGTCTTTGGTGTGTTAACTAATTTTTTTCTCCCCTACTTCCATCTTCCAGTCTTTTCTCCTTATATTTCTTGCCAATACACATTTGTAGTCCTTGTTTTAGGTTTTTTTCTTGGCTGGATGATGACTACCCTGACGCAGAATTTTGTACAACTTTTTACCAACTCTCACTACTATATTGGTTTAGAAATGAGAATTCCTAGCTGATGTCTGCTTATGCACAATGCATAAATGAAGCAAATTTTCCTGATAAAATCACGTGGCAAATGCAGCTATTTTGATTTTAATATTAAAAGATTTGTTATTTTGGAATGGTAGCTTGTTTTCTTTGATTTGTTTTTTAAATTTTCTGCCTTAGTGCCTTTATCCCTGCAAGATTAAGTCTTGATCAACTCAATTTACTTAGTTGCTATTTTTGTTGCACAAAAGTAAACCAAGAAAAAGGCTTACTGCTGGGCATATATGGTCAATGAAAAATAAAATTATTGAGTTTCTTTTTTTCTCATCCATTAGATCATCTACACAAGAAAAAGGTTTATTGTTGGGGTATATATAGTCAATGAAAAATAAAAATTATTGAGTTTCCTTTTTTCTTATCGATCATCAGTTTGCAGCTTTCTATATTGAGGTTGGCTCTTGGAAGCAAATGTTTGAAGTATAAAATCTATAATTCAGCCTTGAGAGAGCATAGGAATAATATCTCTTAATCAAAAGAATAACAGTTGGAAAATTTTGGTGCTCCAGAAAGTATCCTTTTACCTGATTTGACTGCCATCTTTTGCATTGACGCTGCTCCTTGATCAATAACTTCTTTCTGGAGTTGCTTTTCATCTCCCATAAAATGCTTTTTCAATAAATTGCATTGGCATATCCCTCATACATGAATTGCCTACTAAATTTTCCATTTCCTAAATTCATGCTGAATTAGAATGCATATGGAGTTTTTAGATAGCATAACTAGCTTGTCTGTGTGATGGATGGCAGGTTTATGGAGATGAAGAATGGTCATTTGGTTACTGTGAACAAGGTACCGGAGTTTTTAGTTGCCCTGCAGCGAAGAATCCAATGTATACATATCGTGAATGCATTGTTATTGGGAAAACAACCTGTTCTATATTCGAAGTTAATCAGATTCTTAGGGAACTAAGTAGGGAGTGGAGTGGATGTTCATATGACTTGTTATCAAAAAATTGCAATCACTTTTGTGACGAATTCTGTGAAAGACTTGGCGTGCCAAAACTCCTGGTAATGTACATCTCTGTGTCTCTGTCTGTCTGTCTGTCTGTCTGTCTCTCTCTCTCTCTCTCACACACACACAAACACAAAAGGAGACGTGCATGGGACATCCTTTACATTCTTGTTTTGGTTTTATTTAATAGTACTGTTTGTCATGTGACTGCAAGCATTTGCTTTGATATTAACAAATAAATTATCCTTTCGGTGCCATGTGCTGCCATGACTGACATACAGTATAATGGATATAGATAGAACCTGCGCTTTTCACAGAAATCATGCATTGACTGGAAATGTCAAATTAGTTTCACTGTCTTTCTAGTTTTGCCCATGACATTGATTAATGATATTTGTCAGACTTGGGGCTGGTCTAGAATCTAGATCAGTTTCTTGCATAGATGTGAATACTAAGGAGGCTTTTTGTTTTTAACTTCTAATATGTTGAGGTAGTCTTTTTTTTCCTCATCTTTCCTTCCCTCTGATTCTTTACATTAGGCGGGGTTCAGACTTCAGACAATTTATAATGCACTGTTTTTAATAGTCATAATGCTAATGTTTCTCAATTCTGTTTTCTTTTGAGACCAATGTGGACTCCGGCAGTAAAACTGAAAACTTTGCAGTTTTGTTGTTATATTGCCTTGGTTTTGTAGTGTGACCATGACCCAGTACTTCAATCTCAATCTCACATATGCTGAACAGTTGTCAAGTTCTCATTAGCAGTAAAGAAGATGTTCTTATAGCTTCTGTAACAGGTTGGGTTAACAGGTTTGCCAATGCGGGAGATACTGCAGTGGAAATAGCGGAAAATACTGCATTACGGGTAAGATGGTCATGTCCTCCTCCTGTGGTTATACAACTTCAATTCAGAAATTGTACCAATTGCTCACACTTCCGTAGCTATGGCCTTGTTCGGATACCCAGGCTAGCCCAGATATCAAACACCCAGGCCAAAGGATGTTTAAGAGGTGGTGGGATTTGTCCCAACCCTCTGGCCAAAGGATGTTTGGGGCTTTTGGTAGATGGTGTCCACCATGCAGCGCCCCCCCCCCCCCCCCCCAAAAAAAAAAAAAAAAAAACCAAAAAAAAAGTGTTTATATATAAATAAAAAATAAAAATGGTAATGAATGTATTATAAAAAAATGAATATATTATGTTTAAACACTTTTTTCTGAAATCAGTGTCACTAATCCCACCCACGTTTCCTGAACTCATAGTCTGTCTATCAAATAAGTCATATGTAAATATTGATTATTCTTGATTTTACCTTCATTTTGCTTGTGCTTGGTCCATGCTAAAATCAATTTGTCATGTGGTGGATTTTGTGGATTGTTACAGCTAAGACAAGCAAAGGCAGAGATTGTATCAGCCAGCAAAGTGGCTTACCGTTTTCTTGCAGGCATTGCTTCGACTTCACCTGTGGCTCCCGATTCCTCAGGCAACTCAAACAGAGGGAATCCCAGATTTCAGGCCACTTGGTTTAAAAACCTCGTTACTTCTGGTGCCAAACCATCCAGTAGTACAGAACTGGAAGACCAGGATGTGGCGGTGACTGAACAGCAACAACAAAATGAAGAAGCTCCTTTTGGCAGAATTCTAGGCGTGATATTTGATACAGAATTTCTCCTGGAGGAGGCATTATTGTGTTGTGTTGTGTACGTGTTCTAATTTTAAACTTCAAGCGATTGCTATTCATTGTGAATCTATGTAAAATGGTTAAAGTTCTTTTCAACCGTTACATTTTCCATTTCTACCATCCAAGTCTATATTACAGTTCTCATCCTTCTGAATTTGGTCCTTAGATGAACACATAAGGGGAAAAAATGTAACAGGGTTGGCTGTCGGGATCAGTTTCATATTTCTTGTAGGAAAAAATTGGGTAACTTGCACAGATTAGGAAACCAGATAAGATGTTTATGATGCCACTAGGTTTTTGTTAAATGTAACATCCATTTCAGGTTGTACCGAATTTAAGTAGCCGTTATTGGAATATCAGATTTCTTTCATTTATTTGTTATTACTTTTTTAACAAATGCGATTAGAATAAGCTCTCGATACACATGCCAAACAGGCAAATTGGGAAGATTAAACTCTTTATTGCCAAGTGACCAGGGGAAGACTGTTAATTCAACGCGGTAGCCCAACCGCAAGACCGAAATTCGGTGAAGAAAGGAGGCGCCCGCGTCCGGTTGTGTATGGTTAAAAAGGTGGAGCTTAAATGAGGCAAGTGTTCACTCACCCTAAAGCCCATTCTAAAACTCAGAAAAAGAACGTGTAGCCGAAACAAACCCCCGCCCCCGCCCCCGCCGCCCCCCCCCCCCCCCCACCCCACCCACCACAAACACAACCCCAAAAGGGCTGTAGTCGTATAAAGTAGGTGGAGTCTAAATGTCATTGCAGCACCCCCTCGGGCCGGAAAAGATTAAGAAAGAGTACTAGCAAAAATGACAACTGCTTCTACTGCATATATAGAATTCAACAGAGCAACACTCAGATATTTTCATTACGAAGATCATTGATTTCAGGTTCAGGACACAAAATGGGTCAAGGTCTTGGGAATTACAAACCAAAAAGAAGCTTAAAATCATTTACCTCAAAGCATGTTTAAAAAGATACAAGCATAACATTTCATAACACATGCACCATACATACAGATGCATGAGCAAATATGTACAGAAACATTGTTGAGAACCATGACCAACAGCAGGGTTCCACAAATTGCCACCACCACATAACTGAGGTTGTACATACTCCCATTTATTAATCTTCTTGGAGGCAGCACATAAAATTGTGACCTTTCATCTTACCACCGCAACATTCTGTTGCGAACATAAGGCTCAACACCTGCACCCTCTGCAATTTGAAGTGATGCCACAGCCTGTGCTGCAATAAGGCCTGCAGAAATTTCTGTAGTCTCCCAATTTCTACTATCAGTGTATGGCATCTTGAGATCCCCCAGAAAATGGCCATATGGGGCTGACCAGTAACTGTTTCCGCATTCATTCCATTGGCATCCAGATCGATAAATGTTAGGAACCCACCCAACACCATCCAATGAATGTTTTGAAATGCCATGATGAGGAAGACTGCTTCTTTGTCCACCCATAAAAAAGTTAATATCGTTAGCAGAACCCAGAGGGCTAATCTTGCATGAATCATCTGAGTCCTCACCCAGGAGGACATGCAATGCAACAGCCTCAGCGATTGCAGCACCTTCTTCATCAAGCCTCTGCTGTTCTTCTTTCTTTTTTTCTTTTTTCTTTTCTAGCTCAGAACGGATGGCTGCTGAAGTAGCAAGTGCTTTCTCCAACCGCCTCTTTTTCTTCTCAGCCTGTTTAAGGCGATCTAACTCATCTTTCACTTGCTTCTTCTTTGCTTTCCGGACGCTAGGTGTCACCTTGGTGCATTCCATGCTCCCAATGACACTAGTTACACTACCAAATCTCAATCCTACTCGGCACTGTTTGCTTGCTGGCCCAACTCTCTTTTCTTCAAGAGAACCTCCCTACAACCTATACATCTCTATAACTGACTCCTTATTTTTCCCCTTCCCTCCACTAATATACTAATAAATCCTACTTACTAAACCACTTGAAGACTTGTATAACATCAAGACAAACACCTACACCCACTCAGGTCTGCATGAATACCTCATCTTGCGAACAATACATTCCCAAACAGAAACAACAGGAGATAGCAGAAGAAAAAAGTTGTATGCACTAACAAGCCCATCCCTTGGCACCATGCTTCCCAACTTCCCACAGTAGCATTCGCCCATGTTTTGTACACCAATAGAACCAGTAAGTTAAAGTGAACCAAGCGTGACTGTTCCAGTTCAATTCAAACAACTTACATGGCCCTCCCCTGCAAGGTAAAACAAGAAGTTAACATTTAAAACATCGAAATTTGGTAGACAAAAATCTCGTGCAATATTAAAGTCATCAGTTGTGAAGGATATAAAGCAATTTATCTCATAGTCAAGGCCATGTAACTAGTAACGCACTAGAATTGGGGTTTTGAAATGCATCCCGTCCTTGCTAAAAATAGCAAAATTTAGCAGAGAAGAGAGACTATAGAACTCAATTCTTAAGTCAGTTAAAATCAGCAGACTAGGGGAACAATTGCAGACTTCAAATCACTTTTTTGTGACAAAAAGGAGATATTGAATAGAGTAAATAAATATAGATAGCTCCGTGAAATCTCAATTAGCCACTATATGAGGATAATCATTTCAAATTTGAATAGATATGATTAAAAAGGGCACTGTTCATGGTTAGGGCTCACGGGCCCGGACAGAATGATAACCCGGAGACCACGTCATTAAATTCCGATGATTGAATCACAATTCAATTTCCCACAAAACAGAAGAGGCGAAGCGATGATAGAAGCCGTAAACTAGAAACAGCAAATGTTTAGATCAAAAGCAATCACGCCAATAACATTAATCTAGAACGCCCAACTTTCGATCCGTTCGCTACACTGCGGAGGAACCCTAATTAAACTCATGCCAAGTACCAAAATTCCACATACAACAGAATTCAACTTCACATACAGACAAAATCAACAAATTGTACACAGAAATTAGCAGTGGCTTGAAATATCCATTGAAATCTAAGAGTCTAAGCTATAATTATTCCTGATCAAATCATCAATTCAACAGAAAATGAATATCACTGCATCGAACCTTGTACGGAGGCAGGAGAGAGAAAAAAGACCAGAACTTCCCCGCAAGAAATACTCTAGAGAGAGAGAGAGAGAGAGAGAGGGAGAGAGAGTTTATGTTATTTGGATCTGCAGAAAAACCTAATTTTCTAGAGAAAGATCAGATTACAGATCACGAGATTACTGGTGAGAGGTAACGGGGAGGACTTGAAGATGGAAGGGCAATATTGTCTTTTAGCAGTCGATGGTTGGACGCGTGGCAGCCGATGAGCTCTTCGAATTCGGTAGTAGATCTAGAATCTCTTTGACTTTTCTTCGTGGTAATTGATGACTGGCGCGGGGGATTGCGATCCAGCGGTATTTTGCCTGAAACGTGGTGCCCTAAATATCGTCAGATTAACCAGGCGGGCACACTTTGCTGGGGTTGTATTACTTCAATACTGCCCGTTCGATTAGTTTGAGTGGCTTGATGAGCAGTCCGGATGCTGTTGATCGGAAGGCTGGAACACGAGGAATTAACTGTCAACAAATCTTCACATGATTGGTCCCTGGACAGGATAAGCAGCCAAAGCGATTGGATGAGATCGAATTCGGGATGTCATAGAATTACAGAATAGGGCATCATTAATTATTTTATTTTAAAATAACCCCCCTACTTTGAGAACGTTTAAATCTCTTGAATTGAAACCTTTTACAGAATTTTTTTTTTTTTGGGGTCAGGGAAAAGAAGAGAGAGTTGGAAGAAAGGGGTTGTTCTGGGATCCATCACACAACTTGCAAACTGTTTTTAAATTTTGTTTCTCATTCAAAAAAAATGTAAAATTGAAAGTAAATTTTAAAAATATAAAAGAAAAGCTCTTTCTAATTGTAAACGTTGGTATTATTGTAATTAAGTAAAAATTATTATTGTTTAAAATTTTTTTCTTTCATCCAAATTTATCTCATCAATTTTTTAAACTTTACAAAAAAAATTTCTCTCATGAGACAAATTATAAAAGTTACATCCCAAAATTAATTTTATTATTTTTCAAGAATTTCATAACATATTATACAAATATACACAATTTTTAATTACAATTTACATCTATCAATTTTTACTTTTATGTCCAATTTCTGATTTTCACCTTAAATTGCTGTAAGCATTCACGTTTCACATGTTACATCTCAAATTATGTTTAAGATTTTAATTTTAAAAATTTAAAAATTTCTTATATGTCAATAATTAAAAATAATAATAATAATAATAAGCTGCATATTTTCCCAGTGATTTTATGAAATTGTACTTCAACGTCCTGCTTGCTTTGGGAGGGTGAAGGAAGAGATTTTTAACTAAATCCCCACATTTTATACTGATTTTAAATATATATATATATATATGAATAATTAATTTAAATTACGGTGATAGATTAAAAAATTTTAAAATCATATTTTATTATTTTATTTTTAAATTAAAAATATATAATTAAATATTTAAAATTATTAATTTTCAAACTAAACTCACTTTCTTTTCTGCAAGAATTTAAGTTCCAAGGTTTATCCAAATACTTTTTATAACTTCCGTGAGGTAGTCATAATTCATTTTTTAATTTATTCTATAATTCTAACTCTCATTTGTGTTCAATTAACTCCCCGTTTCGAATCCTAGTACTTGAACAGCATCTCAAAGATGACGAGGGGCAAAAATGTCATAATTGGTTCAAATAATAGGACAGAATTTTCAAAAAAAAGAAAAATATTGTTTTATTGTAAAATATTTTGATGGCTAATATTTTTTTTTCTCAATTAGGTACACTTATCGTGCAGGTTCATCACTCATATATATATATATATATATATTGATACTATATATATATATAGACACACATATAGAAAAGATCAATAATACTATGTGTAAGTGTAAAAGATTTACATCATATCTTATATTATTGATTTGGTCAAAATCAACAGTATAAATTAATTATAACTATCATTCACTAATTTTTAGTAATTAATTTGTATTTAAATTAACTGTAATTAATTTACACTATTGATTTTGATTAAATTAACGGTATAAGATATAGTATAAATTTTTTATAATTAAACTTGATATTAATTAATCCCTATATATATATATATATATATATATCACATACGCACACACGCGGAAAGAGGGGGAAGGAACGTGGATCAACCGCAGCCACTTATGATTAGTATTATCAATATTTTTGGATAAAAGTTGTCATATTTTTTTATTTTAAAATATCTTCAATTAAAATAAAATGCAAAATAGGGATTATAGGAGGGCTTTTTGTCATTTTATATTCTTGAATTACCCAATTACAACAAGCTTTGAACTGGGCTTCACTTGATTACTTTGCTTTAGTTTATTGCCAAAGGGCATGTTTGATAACTGGGGAACTGATGGAATGGAACGCGAATAAGATAAAGTGGAAAAGTAACACAAGCTAAGGTGAGGTGTGATGAGAATAATTGAAATTAAAATTTTAATTAATTATATAATGTGAATAAAAATTTAATTTAATTGAAAAATGCCAACGGTTATGACACGTCATCCTTAATATTTGCTTAATTTTAGCGAATCTTGACTTTTCAATAATTTTTAAAAAAAATTCTTTCCATACCTTTCTAATCTTTATAACTTTATAAGATGAAATAACAATTCTTATAATAGGGTTATGGGAAGGGCCGGGCCCACGCTAGCGAGATGAATATGGAAGGGTTTTAAAATTATCTCTTAAGTTTTATTTATATTACAAAATTATTTTAAAATTCTAAAGTTTAAAGATGATTTTACTGAAATATTAAAATTTAAAAATGATTTTGAAGGTTTTTTTAGTTGAACACATATGAAATTGAGTATGTAGCAAATTTTATATTAGATAGAGTAAATGAAATATAATAGATTATAAGAGAAAATATTAAGTATATATTTTAGAGTAAAAACAATAGTACCATAACAAATAATATTAGAGAAGAGTATGAAAAAGTGATATGATAATATTATGATTCACGTTTAAGTGTCTTTGATATTTTCGCAGAAATAAGATAATGATATTATGTAATTTAAAAATTTTATATTAAATAAAATAAACGAGAAATTATAAAATATAAAAAAAAATATTATATATTTTAATAAATATATATATTTTAAAAAATAATAATCTTCTCACAATTTACTTCTCTCTCTGCCTCGACCCATCCCATCTAAATAATTTCGTCTTCTTGTCATGTTTATCTTTTGATATATTTATTAGATAAAATATCAAGAATATTTTTATAAAAATAAATACATAGTTGGATTGCATTTGATATCCTAATCCAACCCAAACCCCTTAAACCCCTTCCATTGGAGAGTGGGCAAGATAGGCCCTGATAGCGTCCAATCAAGTGACTGTCCATCTTGATAGCGTTAGGTTGAATTTCATGTGGAGAAGTGACAGACATGACTTTGTTCATACCAATAAGCCTGCACTTGGCATATTTTTAGAAAAGAGAGACAAATTGGGGCAAATTAATATTAAAATTAATTATTTTTTATTTATCAAAATAGTTATTTAAAAAAATATTTATAAAAATATGTTAAATATTGTTTATATTGAAAAATTGGTCATTAAACATTAATTTTAGTTAAAAAATTGATTTTGAGAAAAAGTCAAATAGAGATTTATTGTAAAATCTGTTCATAAAACTCTTTAGTCAAAAGAGAGCAAGAATGAAAAAAAAAGAAAAAAGGGGGAGAAAAAAATTTGGGGGAAGGGGAGAAAGAAGAAAGAGAAAGAAATGGGGAGAAAAAAAAATCAGAAAGTTTTTATGGAACTCTGTAGTAAAAAAAGGGGAAAAGAAAGGAAGAGAAAGGAAGGGGAAAAAAATGGAGAGTTTTGACGGAGTGTTATAATAGAGAGAAGGGGAGGAGAAAGTAAAAGAAAGAGGAGAAAGAAAAAAAAAAAAGGAAGAGAGCAGAGAAGAAAAGTGAAATATGCAAATTGTTGCAGAGCTCCTGCTTACTAATTTTTTCCTTTTCCTCTTCTTTACTTCTCCATTTCCTCTATTGTAGAACTTAATAAAAGTTCCTTTTTTTTTTTTTCTCCCCCTTTCTTCCTCTTTCTTCCCTTTCCTTCGTCACCTTCCTCTTCTTTTTTTCTACTCCTCCCTCTAGTGCAGGGCACCATGGACGAAGCTATGCGCAGGCAAGACGAAGCTCTACAATAGAGCTTCGTCCAACTTTTTCCCAATTGGAAAATCAATTTATGAAGAATATATTTCTCAACTGAAATCAATTATTGAGGAATTAATTTCCCTCAAGAAATCAGTTTCTTAGAAATCGATTATTCAATTAAAAGAAATTAATCTATTTTCGTAAATAATCTTCCATTAACTTATTTCTATAAATAAAAAATTAATATTCGCATAAATTCATTACTAATTGATAGATTATTATAGGGGATATTTGATTATATTTATAAAATAAAATGTGAAATTAGAGGGGAAATATTAGAAGAATTTTAATTCAAATTCAATTTGAGATTGACCCAAATTTTAAAATTTGAATTTAATTAAAATGTTCAATTGATCAAATTTAATTATAAATATTTATAATTTAAAATAAATAAATCAAATAATAAATAAGAAATTTAATTAATTAAAAATCTAAATCCAAATTTTAGTAGTATTATTTATTTTATCAATAATCATATATAATATTAATAAATTTAAATTTATAGGAATTAAGTCAGAGAAATAAAAAAATAACGAATCAATATGTTTGAGGAATAAAGTTGAGAGATTTAAGTGTAAAATAATATTATTTTCTTACTAAATTTAGGACTATAGGCTAGACTTGAATATGAATTACACACAAATTTTATAAAATTTTAAATTAAATTCAAATATATAAATAAATAATTAAATTTGAATTTAAATTAACTTGATATAATTTAAGCCAGACCTATTAAGAACCTTATAAATAAAAAATTGGAAGAATAGATGATTTGATAAGTGTTGCAAAATTTTATATAATAAAATTCATGTTTATATTTGTTGTAAAAAGCATCTGTTCAATTTATCATTTAATTCCTACTTTGTTATATTCTCACTCTACAATTTGTTATCTTTTTTTCCTTTTATTCTTTATATATTTTTGTAAGTATAAACAAAACAGTCATCAATATTTAACGTCATCAACCGACCGTTAAAATTAAACTACAATCGCAAATGAATCTGGAAAAAAAATTACAAACCTAGGACTTCTGACGCTAATGCGATGGTGTTTACAATGTTTAATAAATAAATAAATAATACGCCCAACCGGATCCGGGTCGGTTTTCGGGTGCCGTTTCACTAGTCCCTTCCGGTCCCCAACACCGAGCAAGCTCACTCCCAATGTCCCAATCGCCGCAATCAGTCCTCACAACTTCTCCTTGGGCTTTTCCACAGCCATGACGTTCCTCCTCTAACCCTACTCTTTCTGCTCCCTCTCTCGCTCTGCATCAGCAATGATATCTTTACACCCCTTACCAACCCTAAGCCCTCTTCTCTCCACTCCCTTATTTCCATACCCTTCAACCCCAAAACCCCAATGCCGCTAAAAACCCCAAATCAACATCACCACCGGACCAACGGCACCACCATTAAATCTCTCCTCCAGTACAACCGAAAGCCCCAACTCGCCGGTGAGACTCCTCGTGTTGTCGTCATCACCTCCGGCAAGGGCGGTGTCGGCAAGACTACCACCACTGCCAATGTCGGCCTCTCAATTGCCCGCCATGGATTCTCTGTCGTCGCCATTGATGCCGACGTTGGCCTTCGCAACCTGGATCTCTTACTAGGTCTCGAGAACAGGGTCAATTACACCGTCGTCGAGGTCTTAAACGGCGATTGCAGGTAGCTGGCACTGGCAATTCCTGTTTATTTAACGTAAAATGACTAACCATTTGTACGACAGACCAACTTAACTATTGGTTAACGGTAAAAATATGGTGAATTGTGTGATATTCCTGTCACACGAGCCCTTTGGTGTCATGTTATTTATGCTCGTGTCATCTTTACGGAGAAGGTTAAGGTTTTATTGACAATTCATTTACAATGAGATGAATCTGGATCAAATTCATATAAGCCAGTTATGAACAGTCCATTTGCAATAAAACCGAGGCAATTCCTATCAATTTCATACAAGAGATTTATTAAAAATTCATTTAAAATAGGAATGAGGTTATGATCAAATTCATAACACCGAATTGTTTAACAATTCAGTTATGATAAAAATGAGGCGTATCATGTCAAATTAATGTTAAAGCAGCTCTTATCATGTGTGTTATATTTGTATTGAGCGCAATTAAAACTTGTGCGCTGTTCATGTTGTGACTCATATTGCCACCTACTTGCAGGCTTGACCAAGCCCTAGTCCGGGACAAGCGTTGGTCCAACTTTGAGCTGCTCTGCATATCAAAGCCCAGGTCGAAACTCCCACTTGGGTTTGGTGGAAAAGCCCTAGTTTGGCTCGTTGATGCTCTGAAGGATCGCCAAGAAGGTTGCCCTGATTTCATACTTATAGATTGCCCTGCTGGAATTGACGCCGGATTCATCACAGCAATTACTCCTGCGAATGAGGCATTATTGGTGACTACACCTGACATTACAAGCTTGCGTGATGCTGATAGGGTTACGGGTTTGCTGGAATGTGATGGGATTAAGGATATAAAGATGATTGTGAACAGGGTAAGGACTGATATGATAAAAGGGGAAGATATGATGTCTGTGCTTGATGTTCAGGAAATGCTGGGTCTGGCTTTATTGGGTGTAATTCCTGAGGATTCTGAGGTGATTCGGAGTACGAACAGGGGATACCCACTTGTACTAAATAAGCCACCCACTTTGGCTGGTTTGGCATTTGAGCAAGCTGCTTGGAGGCTAGTTGAGCAGGATAGTATGCAAGCAGTGATGGTGGAAGAAGAGCCCAAAAAGAAGGGGTTCTTCTCTTTCTTTGGAGGGTAGAATTTTGAATTGCTTAGGAGTACAATTGTTTGTGTAGTAGTGCTTTGTGGTTTTTTAGGATTGAGGGGAGATTGGAAGCCATGTACAGTGGGAAGGTAAGGTTTGTCTTTCGGCTTTATATTGATTTTATGTTTTTATTGATTGTTGGGTGCTAGTTATCAGAGGTGATAATTATAGTTTGTGAATGGCATCAGCTTAATTGTACTCTCTGATTTGGCAGTTTTTGTTGCTGAAAATATGTATGTTCTTATACATCTACACTAACATTTATTTGTTAATCATTTCTTTTGCTGGAATTCATGTATCAGAATTGCCAAACTAATTTCTCCTTCTATGTGTACTTGAATGAAGGAAAGCATAAGTACGGTAGTTTGATATGTGTATCTGCCTCTAGGTGCGTGGATTCTTATACCTTGCCTACAAACATCTAAAACACAATGCAGTACTTGATTGGATCCATTAATGCAAATAATGTAAAAGATTTGGCATCTGGTAGTACTACATGTAGATGTGGTTATGCCTTTTCTACTCCATCAATTCTATTATTCATCTCAGACAACAAATTGATGATGCAGAATAAGAGTAGCTATATTTTAGGTGGATACAGAATCTAATATCCGGCCTCAAAAGTCTTTTTTTTCAAAAACAAAAATTAGCTCTATGCTGAAGTTTGCAACCCAGGAAGTTCACTACTTCTGGTAGCATTCGAGCACTTCTCAAGCTTCTTGTAATGCAGATTGTGCCTACCAAGGTTAGTGCATTTTTGTTCTTGAACATTTAGTGTTGCGGCCAACCAGTGTAAGCCTAATGCCGCATCGATTTATATTGCTTGAGAAAATATGATGAGTTATTGCCCATTGACACTCTCATATATGCTTATGATTCTTGGAGTGGGAATAAGCTTCATACGTTCAGCACAGGTTTCATTTGGTTTAGGCATGAACCCCAGTGTTTTAAAATAAATGAGTATTATTACAATCCGTGCTGTATATGAATTATCAAGGTAAGATCTATGTTCTTTACGAGATATGAAGTATACATTTTGAAGTACAAATATAAATATATATAACATATACAGATTTAACGTAAATTATATGTATATACATACACACACTGTTTGCTGAATCATCGGAAAGCCAGATTCTTCCATGCGAAATTTCATGGGCTATACATGTCCCGTTGGCTAGTGGCGGTGCTACATTAGGGTGGTTGCGTTTTTTAATCTAGGGAGACAGTTCCGATGAAAGAATACCAGTTTAAGTTCGTCTATCACTTATTGTTATTACGACTAATGACGTCCGATAAAGCAGTGCTAGATCTTGATTATTCTTAAGTAAAATAATAATTCAAACCTATGGAATTTTGAATTCAAGCACTTCAGAGTAAAATAATTTCCCAAAAGAGAATTTTACAACTATATCCGATTTGTTTGCAATTACATCCGGAGTCGAGCAAGACTCCCAATAGATGGAAAAGAAAGATGCAAACTGATCGTGTTCTCAGTAATTACAATGATTTTATGAAAAACCAGACACACTGTCAATCTACAAAACCAACAATTTCGTATCATAAAACTAAGCACTCCATTTGAATACGGAGCTCTTATCACTAAAAACATTACTTGGTAGAAAAAACAAGAATCATCCATGTTGAGTACCGAAGTTAATCATAGGGGGAGAACAAAAATAAAATGAAATCCTAGTTATTTTTAGAAGGCCCTTGAAACACTTTAACAAAGCAAGCGAAAGAATCATTTAAATGCAGCAAATTTGATTGCTAAAAAAAAGCCTCGTTAAACCATTAAAGAACAGGAAGCCCTGTCCCAAAACAAATAAAAAATCTTTGTTTAGCAGGTTTCTGTAGATATTTTGATACCATGCCATGGAGATTGTTTCTCACAAGGTTTCTTTACAATCTGTCACATTTATTAGAAACAAAAAAAAAAAATTGATATAACAAAAACCCACCCCTCTAAAAAATAAAAATTAAAAAAAGAAGTTTGACAACTTTCTATGTCAATTGCCAAAATTAGGAGTAGTGGGTTGTTTAGAAAATTAGAAACTAAAATTAGGATATCAACTGTCTAAATTTTAAGCTTCGATTTGCAAGCTAAAAGACAATGGTGCAAGTACTTCCATTAATATCTGGTCCTGAAGAGGAACAAATAAACAGATATCAATAAAAGCTCCATTTGCTAAACCTAACAAGCTACTTAACTGGAGTAGTTTGCTTTTGGTAGGGGAAAAAATAACCAAATTGAATTTTCTACTCCACTAAATTTCCCATAAAATGCACAAGCTTAAATAAGATTCTTATAAGTTAAGCTGAATTGAGATACAATACCCAAGTAGATCAGCATGCACGTCTTCTGATTAAGGTTCTTTGATCATGAGAATTTTCCTAGTATCCAGTTTCTGTTTCCAGCTTTAAAGAACAGAAATTCACTGGCCATGAGACCACACCCTCCCAGATTGAATCATGCAAACTAATATTTTTTTTCCTAAACCAGGAAAAAGGAAAAAATGGAAAGGAGAAAGATAAAGAAAGCGGAAAACATCCACCACCCACGATGAACCAAAATGGGGAATCTGTAGAAACTGAATTTGAAAATCATTATTGAATTAGCTAGATGCCTTCCACTAATATTCCAATGGTTTGTTTCTCTGGCAGCATAAACCTGCCATTATGAACAAAACCATTAGGGGCTCCAAGAACTGAAAGTTTAAAGGAAAATCAACCAAGATATATAGTACCTCCGTAACAACAACTAGATCTGCATCATGGAATGCAGTGGCAAACTCATTCTCCAGGGCAGCTAGACGACTGCAAACATTAACAAAGAATTGTACTTTCCCAACTATCATCCATTGTTTTAATTGCTAAAAGTATATATGAATTGTTTCCATATCATACAGATGGGTACCTGTATGTATGAGGCTGAAACACCACCACAAGATCCTTGTACCTAAACCTTTCCGTGCTGCTTGAAGAACTGCAAGAACTTCAGTAGGATGATGAGCATAGTCATCACAAATATGGCATCCACAAACTCTACCAATAATTTCAAAACGTCTAGATACACTTCTGAAACTGTTCAACTGTACACGCACAGAGTCAATTGATTCATAAATATGTCTTTGGCCACTAAATAAAGCAGTCACAGCAGCTATAAACTGCATATTGAAATGTATTAAAAATTGTCAGGAAGACTATACCTATAATAGTATGAAAGGAAAATGAATATTATCAGAACTTGAAGTAAACATTAGGAATCAATCACACTGAAAAACAACCTTAAATGTTCATAGTTGCGGATTAAGGAGAAAATGGGAACCTGACAGGATTCTTACTGAATAAATATGAGTTCACATAATTTTGAAATTAAAAGCAATAAATGTTATATTCAAAAAAAAAAAAAATACAGACAAATGATTTAAAAATGATACTCACTGCTAATAAGTTAAGGACATCATGAACCCCTGGTAGCCGTAGGCTTATGTTTGCCACTGGACATCCCCTATGATACCGCAGAAAACAAGCTTTTAGCACAGGAGTGAGAGGTTAGATTAAACACAAAAGGAATATATAGTGTAACAAAGAATATAACATGCATATTCTGCATCATATCCAAAGTGCCAACAAGATTGTTATTAAATGACAAAGAAGCCTAACAGTCCATTCAACTTTGTTGGACATTTATTCTAGAATGCAATCATAATTTGCCCTCTTTAGAACCAACCGCAATCTGGAATGTACAGACAAAGAACAAGTCAAGTTGAGCTGAACAGTCCCCAACAGAAAATAAAAATCGCTAGATGCAAAAGGAAAATAACTAGGTAAATTTCAAATTCAAAAGATGACAAGCACTGAGTTTGGATGGACTCAAGGATTGCTTAGAACAGATGTTGGAAGGTTCCTTCTTGGTGTGTCCCAATATGGCTTGTCCCCACATACCCATAAACCAACCATTGAATGCCAAAATATAAATACATGAAATCTCTTAGGCCAAATTACAGCAAAAAGTTGGGCACCAGGATAATCCAGAAGCAGTAGCGAAACTGACAGTATCAATCCAAAGGTGAGGATGGGTAAAGGCTGGACCTAAAATTTAGATCAGCCTCAACAGAGTAGCATCTCGGTTCTCTCTCTCTTTCTTGTCTTGTAAGGTCTATTTCATCCCCATGCAAATTTTCTGTTTCTAGCAGGTTCTTTCTTTTTTCCTTTTACCCTTTTCCACTAAATTCAGCTAGGTGCCAAACTTTTATAATTTCGGAATTTGTAGTTAGTTTTCCATAAAGCATGGCATCATAAATAAGCATAACCTCTGTAAAATTTTTATTTAATAAATGATTGCCCCATCTTGAATTTCTTCACTCACATACATACACTTTGTGCATGACACTGATCAGCACTCGGCAGAACTTAACTTAAACCAATTTGAAGTATTAATAAATTTTCTCTGAAACTCTTTACTGAGAAACAGTAAATCACATTGGCAAGTTCTCCCGTAGCATAGCCAGAGTATTCCCAAAAGAAAAATAGAAAGCATATGGTCAAAGTTGAGTTGCATAATACAAAATGTGATTACAGACAAGCAACAATTTACCTACCAGTTGATAATCTCTTCCTCCTTACCAGTTTGAACGTAGCGATGATGCAGACCATTCATTAAAATTGGCAATTCCATAAGTGCTTACTCTGTAGTTATGACCCAGCTCCAATCTTGAGTTCACAGGGATCGAAGAGTCTGATCCGGCCACAGTCCTTTCATGACCCAGCAAGGAACGTGCACCTACACTGCATTGCCCCTCCAAAAGTACTTAAATTACAATAAGCCAAAAAATTGAGATTTGTAAATTATAAGACAGGATTTTAGACAAGATGAAAACACCAAGAACATTTAAGTATTTCCAATCCTACTCTTTTTCAAGTCCATCACAAGGTTTGAAGCCATTGGCCTAAATGATGACCACTAGTTATCAAAAAAATACTATCTATTCTAACAACAACTTAAATCAACAGAACAAGATAATAAGGGGATGAAGGATAATCACATAAAATGACTCTTTAGTTGCAGAAGATGCTAAATATTTAGAAAATTAAAATCTCAACCATAATGCGCAATAGCAGGACCACTGAGTTTGTTAGATGAAAACCACATCCTTCAGAATGCGGGGAGCAACGGCTGATGTTCATAAATAGATTCTTCAATGGACAAAGAAAATGCACATACCTACATAATAATGTTTGTTAAAAACCAATCAACAATTACTACAGTGACATTTTCTACTCCTCTGAATTTTTTAAATTCCACAGACCTCTAAGACTCACTCGAATTTTCCTTGGTACTGATTTAACACTTCATCATTAAGGATTTTTTTTTTTTTTTTTTTTGGGCTCCCATAAATCAGTAACAACTAGTCAGCAAATATATGCTTAACTCTGCAAGACAACAGAATGCTTTTTAATTACAGTATCATAATAATAACAAACCATAAGAACTGAAATATCACATTTGTAAACTTCAATGGTCTAGCACCAAAGTAAAAATAAGAAACATCAAAAAAAATTGAACATAATAAAGACAACAGAAACTACAACAACAATTGTTACAGAAAATCCACAAAACAAATGAGCAATAATATGAACAATATAAAAATGTTACCTATCTCCACATAGAATTAGATGTCCACCTGGCCTTATTTGCTCCAGGAACTTCTTGAAAGTAGCTTTAACTGCATCCTAATAGACAGGAAAATGAAGTACATTACCCTATGTCAATTTAAGAGATCTAAACAATTA